CCCTTTGGACAAAACTCTGTCGAACGACCGATATACAGCTCCACACGAGCAGGTGAATTGATAAACGCACATAGAGTTGGTCAACAACGGGATCTTGTCCTTCAGGTTATTGAACAGTACTAGTTGGCTAATAAAGACTATTCTCAGGGATGCTGCAGGGAATGTTCTTTTCAGGGACTGTGTTATCCTTCGTTTCATGATATCGGAAGCTTATTTCAAGCTTAAACTATCCCAAACGCTTAGAATTTTCAAGCATAGTTTTTCCACGCAAAAAACGTTAATGGTTTAATAGACTCTAAAAACTAGGCGTCATATCATAAATGATTTGAATTATAACCTTTCATAAATGCCAAGGTATTTATTTCAAGTAAACAAAGACACTTATGAATGAAATGTATTTAAATGATGAGTTTTACACGAATTTGGATTAATTTCTCAATGTAGATTTAGTCACGAACCTAATATCAGTTATAGGATCACAAATTGTCGTTAGCGCTATATCATGAATTGATTAACCAATCGAATTTTGGCCCAAATGGCTAAGTGGGACAATGAACTGACTCCATAACCTGAAATTTTTTGGTATGATCCCTGGTGGGGTAGGGTGAGCACAATCGATAAGTCCTAGAACAGGGTAAAACAGCTATCCAGTACTTTCTGGTTTCCTATGAAATTAATAACAAATGGTCTAGTAATGAACTACTCATGAGGTAATGAGTATTCAGTCCAAGCTAATGGAGGGTTAGTAGATGGGTCGTCAATGAAGTTCTAGTTATTATACATGTAACAGGAGAATATAAGAGATTTGCTAACCGACTTTTATTATGGAAAAACATAACATTTAAACATTCTTAGCCACATCTAAATTCGGTTGGGTCATTGGAGAATAGAAAACATTTATTTCCCGATACGAATTCAAAACAAGCAATAAATGTTAATAAAGCAGGATTTAATGAATTCATCAAATTTCGATAAAACTCGTCAGCTGAATACTCTACATACACGGATACATATACTTTTGAAATTACATTGGGAGGTATGACTGATAAGTAAATAAACTACGTTGAATTAGTCATGCAGAAAGACACGTGCGAATCTTTTCCAGGTCATGTTCAAATGGATAAGGGGAGAGAGAGTATGAGTGGTCGAAATTAAGATAAAATGCATTACGCTTCAATCACATCACTTAGGTAAACAATTAGTCATTAGGGAATATAACGAGAATAGCAGACAGAGTAATGTCAATAGTAATAATAATAGTGTTGAGGTGAGTCAAGATAATCCTACTGATAAAGCGTAGTTTTAAATGAATCAAGAATAATAATAATAATAATGAGAGGTAGAATAATAAGTAAAACGTATTACCATGGTAGATTCAGAGTGACGACCATTTCCTTTTGTATACAGAGGCCTGGTTTATAAATTCGAATTGCACAAGCCTCTGCAATTGCAAGCATCTTCTTGTTTCTTTGTCTGCTGACAATGGTGAATGACTTGACCACGTCGAGAATAAATTGTTCTGATTGGTTGGCAATTGGCCAAAGATTGAGCAAGTTATCTAATGAGATTATCTCTTGATCACGACGTAAACTCTGCAGCCGTTAACATAAAATGTTCCCTTCAGTTTCGGCCGTCTCCAATCAATCTGCCTCTGTATACCGCCAATAAAAGTTGTCAGTAACACACGTCACGTACGTAATGTTATTCATTTCTTGCATTCCGAGTAGAACATAGGGCTCTATAGGCATATTTCAATTGCACTCTGTTCTCTCCTATCACTTTCAGAAAGGCACATAACTGCCCCCAATCTATAATTTCCTCTTCATATGATATTCTCCATGTGACCTTATGACGCCTAACCCCACAGCTTCATATTCGTGTCTCACTCAAAGGGCCAACATATGATGTCTATACACAGATCCTTAATTATAAATAGGAACTTTTGCAAAGAAAGCCCAACTGCATATTTCTCTACAAGTTAGCCTGTTTAATTAGTAATGCTGTTCAGTTTCAGTAATATTCTGCTAGGGGAAATTATTATTGAGGATACGCAAGGGATTCAGGATTTTTTGTGTTTAATGATGACGTAACTCATACGAGTAGTCGACTGATAGGTACATAAAAATGTCTTTCTTCTTCCATCCTTACTCGAACTGTCGGTGTGAAAGCATTCCGAGAAAAGCAGTGTATGAAATTTTATCTAGTGTAATGATCTGGTTTGTATTTGTCGATTGAATCTTATAAGTCAATATGTTCATAGCAGTGTAATAGATAATTTCTGTGTCAGGAATACAGTAGATACTATTTAGAATTTTTCCCAGGGGCTTGATTACATTACATGAATATTTTTTTACACTATACAACAGATTCACTACTTGTTACTCTCAAGAATTCTAATCCAAAAGACGCTGACAAAATGCAGAGCCTTCTAAACACCTTGAGCTGCATTCTACGAATGTTTGGCATGCGATTCGCTCCCGCCAAATGCAAGATGATGTTACAGGACTGGATTACACCGACTCCTAGATTAGAAGTAGGAAGTGAAGTGGTAGAGCACGTTGACCGCTTCACTTATTTGGGAAGAACCATCAGCTCCAACGGGCTGATCTCTGACGAAATCTCAGCACGGATACAGGGGGCTCGTTTCGCATTTGCCAGTTTACGCCGACTCTGGTGTAGACGAGATGTTCGACTATCGACCAAAGGGCGTGTGTACTGCTCATCAGTCCGCTCCGTCCTCCTTTATGGTTGTGAGACCTGGCCACTGAGAGTGGAAGACATGAAAAGACTAGCTGTCTTTGATCATAGGTGCCTGCGCTCTATTTCCCGTGTAAAGTGGCATAATAAGGTGAGCAACATTGAGGTTAGGCGTAGAGTTCTAGGTAAACAGGGGAAATCAATCGACGAAGTTGTGAAGTTACAAAGACTGAGATGTTTAGGACATGTGTTACGCGTGCATGCCTAGTCATCGCCTTCCACGACGAGCTATGTTAGCGGATATAGGGTCAGGCTGGAAAAAAGCTAGCGGCGGTCAAACAAAAACATGGCACCAGTCAATGAAATCCACAACAGTTGGTCTAAGCCACGTAGGAAGTTGTAGACTTCCAGGCTGGGGCCCTCAGGATGGTAAAAATCTATGGTTGGAAACAATTTGTGACATGGCTCAAAATCGTTCTCATTGTGACTTGTGATTTCCAACGAAACTGTTTTATTCTTCGTTACCACTATTCCTTTGTCTTACACCTGTTTACTGCGTCCATTATGCATTTCTTCTTTTGCTTTGTGTGGTACATGGAGTGTGGCGACTTGAACTGCCGCACATCGGTGGAAAGTTCTATGTCGAAAACAGACAGACAATCTAAAAGAGGGACTACATTATTCTAGAATGGTTTAATTATATGCAAAATACATTCGGTCTAATAAACAGTGAGGGGACTTTATTTATACTTTGGAATTTCAAAGACAATTTATTCTCGACAATAATATCAATGGAGCTGTACCATTCAGTATGTAACTTATGCACCTCACCGTTTGCAAATTACACTTTTTAACATGAAATGTCATCATCATTTCTTTTGGAGATCTAAATTATTCAGATCACTAGGTGTCTTGCTTGACAGCTGTAAATAGTTACAAAAAGGCATATACTGTTCGAAACAGGATATATACTACTTATTTTACTATAAGTGGTGTCCAACTACTCATGTCGAATAGTAGTATGTATTTCTAGATTTGAACTGTTTCAAGTTCTATGATTCTATTTGCTACCGAATTTTGCATATTCGAAGTCTGTAATGCTTCATATGTGTCCTGTTAAAGAGTTTATCATATTTCTCAGTTGATGTGTTACAAAAACACCTCTGTGAAATTTAGCTTTATCCCGTGCTAATTTGTGGTTTTATATGGATGTGAGCATTTCAACAAATGTTTCTTAATGCATTACGAACAGTATTCTTGATAGAAGTCACACTTTAGGCCGATGATAAAGGACATGCTGTTAGGTTATTCAAATAAATTAGACGTTTTTCCAATATCTTGCTTCAAAAGCCCTTAAATATTGAAGTTTTATTAGGGATGGTGTTCTTTTTAAGCGGAAAACCTTCCTTCTTTTCCAGGCTTACTACTGGCTAGGTATATATGTGTCAGCCAAGAGTCAAACCTCGACGTCATCTGTGGCTGACAGACATTATGCCATTAGAATGAATGAGCCTTAATTCTAATGCACTTATAATCACTAGCTTTTGAATGATTTAGCAGCATTTTTTGTACCACCAGCCTACAGTTCACTTTCAACCGTTATTTTATTCTTACGCTACACTATATGTCGCCAAATGGCTTGAAAAGTATCCATCAGTTGATGAGTGCCAACTAGCACGAAACCTAGGTCCAAGGCTTCCTGTGGCCGATTGCCTCCAACCATCTAATATCATCAAATCAATGTGCACTGTGATGTCCAGCTACCTAGAATGGTGGCCACATTGCAAACCAGACTGATAAAATTCAGTCTGCACCAAAGAAAGGACTAGAAACATCTCACTAGTTACTAGTGTCCAATCGAAATACCCACTACAGTCCTACAGGAGGTCAATCGCGAGCCCGAATAGCTCAGTGGTAACGTCTCTGACTGCAGTACTCACTGGATGACGCGGGTTCGAATCTCAGAAGAGACATGAGTTCCTTCAACGTTGCAGATACGCCTTGCTGATGAGTGCCGACTAGCACGAAACCTAGGTCCAAGGCTTCCTGCTGATTGCCTTCAACCATCTAATACTTAACATCTATTTGAAATTTCTAATTCCATTAGTGTTCATTCTAATTCCCTCCCAAGTTATAAGCTGTCTTTAGAGATTTAGGAGAACAATAATCATAACTGTAGCCAAAATTCCTACGGAATATCTCTTATATAACGGACATCTATTTCTCATAGATTAATAATCATCAAAATTATCTAAAGGAATAGAAATAGCATAGCACAATACATATGTAGATACAATATTTGTTAAAATTGTATTTTATTATTAATAAAGAACAAAATTACAGGGAATTTTATGATATTTTATTATCCATCTGTAATATGAATGTTTGTTATTATTATTATCATTATCAGGATACTACTTGTGTACTCCGCCTCTTGTATAGGCATAGTGGTTTATATATTTCTTATTTAAATCTTCATTATTATTATAAAATGTTTTTATTATTATTAATATGATTGTTATGATTGTATGCATAATCGTGAGCTTTGTGTTTCGATCCGGGTTTTTTATCAAATATTACCTTACCTCGAACAATTAATCGACCGTACATATCATAATGTGAATAATTTTTAATTTTACCTTTTGGTCCTTGATGTGCACTATGATGATATGAAATAACTTCTAAATAATCTTTAGATTTTTCTTCATCACCGAATTGAAATAGACTTTTTGGTGAAAAGTAGCCATTGTACCTCCTCTTCAGTGGTTTAGATTTCACTTGATAATTGTTAACACTATAGGCAACGGGTTTATTCTGTTGAAGATAGTAGTGTTTTGTAGATTTAGAAGATGGATAATGCACCTTTTTATCATTCTGTGATGATTGTATATAAGCTTGGTAGCGTGCAGACAATTTTGGATAGATATTTTTGAAATTACCATTTGCTTTTTTCTGTGCTATATACCTTATCGATGGTTGATGGAAATAATAATCATTAGGTTTAGCAGTGACTGTTTCCACTTTATATTCATTAGTGTTTAAACTTTTTGGATGAATCACATAGAGTTTATCATCTATGGGTATATAATCATGTAAATCGCCTAATTTATTTGGTACATACTTTTGATGTTTATTTGAGGCTATTGGTAAGTTGGAGTAATCTGGTTGATTTTCTTTTTCAACAGAATTATGATGGTATTCAGCATAGTTATTATAATCTGTTCGTGCTTCATTTTCATAATAATTATTGTAGTTTATGGGTTTGCCTAGACTAGTACGTCGTTGTATAGGTTGATGATGTTTAATGTGTTTTTCGGCAACACTTCGTTTGTACTTGTCATGTTCATAGCGTGGATAGTATTCTGTGACTTTAGCTTCATATACCTTTGGTTTATAATTATCATATCCATGTATGGGATAATATTCATTGGTCTTAGTTTCATATACCTCTTGTTTATGGCCTTTGTGTTCCTGATTTGGATAAGGTTTGATGTGTTTAGTTTCATATACTTTTGGTGCATACTTTTCCTGCTTATGACTTGGATGATATTCGAAAGATTTGTCTTCATATACCACTGGTTTATGCATTTTATGATCATGTTTTGGATAATATTCCATGTGTTCAGTTTCATATACTTCTGGTTTATACTTCTCATGTTCATCTGGTCCGTGGTGAACAATGTTGTTTCTTTTGTATACCTCTGAATTGTATTGTTCAGGTCTGTGTCTCAAGTGATGCTTGTTGTCTTCATTGACATACACTTCTGGTTTATATTGTTCATATTTGTGTTTTGGATAATATTCAACATTTTCAACTTTATATTCATGTGGTGTATATTTCTCATGTTTAGGTATTGGATAATTTTTAGGATATACAGTTTTGTATACTTCTGGCGTGTAGGATTCTTCTCTGTAATTTGGATAATACTCAGAATTTCCAGCTAAGTGTACTTCTGGTGTATATTCTTCCTGTCTGGAATTCACAATCCCGTATCTTTCTGGTGTGTATGATTCTTGTTCTGGATACGTATAGTACTCAGAATTTCCAGCCAAGTATACTTCTGGTGTATATTCTTCCTGCTGGGAATTCACAACCTCATATCTTTCCGGTGTGTATGATTCTTCTCTGTAATTTGGATAATACTCAGAATTTCCAGCCAAGTATACTTCTGGTGTATATTCTTCCTGCTGGGAATTCACAACCTCATATCTTTCTGGTGTGTATGATTCTTCTCTGTAATTTGGATAATACTCAGAATTTCCAGCCAAGTACACTTCTGGTGTATATTCTTCCTGCTGGGAATTCACAACCTCATATCTTTCTGGTGTGTATGATTCTTCTCTTTGATTTGGATAATATTCTGATTGTACTGCTTGGTATACTTGTGGTATATAATTTTCATAATCATTATCTTCATTCACATAATCGCTATATTTACCGCCATATACAACGGGTACATGGTATAAATTACCATCATTATTATAAGCTTGATATTCAATTTGTGGAAGATAATCCGTAGATGTGATAGCTTCACCTACACCACTATTAATACCATCATCAATGTCATATGATTCCACAGGGTAATAGGAAGCACCAAGAATTGTTTCTAGACTAGCAGCATTACCGTAAGATTCTAAAGGTTGTTGTATTTGTTGTTGATATTTTCCGCTTTCTTCAGTTAAAAAAACCACATTTGCATAACATTGATAGAAATTAGTTAAATACAATAGTAATATTATTAACAATTGTTTTATATTAAACATTATTTCATTCAAAGTTGTATTGTCTTGTTAATTTACAATAGAAATAAAGCAGCCGGCTATCAAAACTATTCATTTGAGTTATTGAAGATTGTTTTATATAGGGTTTTTTTGAAGTCACTCTGTACTTAGTCAATATCCTAATCAAATCTAATAATTATTTACGTATTGAATAGAAGATTTTACGCAATAGAGAAAAATATTTTTTATAAAGCGTTAAACATTTTTTTTCTTAAATGATAATCTTTTTTTCTTGTTACGCGTTTCGTCCTGTTTTTTGTTTTTCATTTGTCTTCATAGAAAGTGCATTTTATTTATTTTCTTATTTGTATATTGTTCATTTATGTATCCCCTTACTTACTTAACTTATTAATGTACTTAGTTAGCTATTAGTTTATTCAATGATTATTTTTAGTTTATCGAGTGTGTGTGTGTGTGTGATGCAATTAATTATTAGGCTTTTCTCTTTCAACAGAGGACAGAAAAAAAAAGAGCAATATTTTACGAACTTATACAAATATAAAGTGCATTTCTTTAGTTCACTTAGAATTATTATTATTATTTATTATTATTATTATTGTATCCTTTAATTCCTAGAGGAATATAGGGCTTCAGCTGCGCCTCTCCATTGCCTTCGGTTTTCTGCCAACTTTTTCACTCCTCTCCAAGTCTGCCCACATGCTTTCATCTCCTCTTCATATGACCTCCTCCAAGTCACCCCACCCTTGCACTGACGACCAACTCGCCGCCCGCTTCCCTTTCGGGTTCCACTCGAGTGATAGCCTGTCGTGGGATGTCCCTCGATGGCTCGTTTTCTCAGAGTATGGCCAGCGAATCCATCTCCATTTCTTCCTGCCTATTTGTTTCACAATCGGTTCCTGCTTTGTTGGTTCGCTCACTGCCAGAGATCCCTGTTTCTGATGTTTTCTGGCCGGCCATCTGATCTTTAGTAGTGTTGAGCGAAGACAACTCTTAATGAAGGTCTGAAGTTTGTTTGAGATGCTCTTGATGACGAGCTGGTCAAGTCTCTGATCCGTTTAGTGAGTAGCACTGACTGACTTCACATTGGAGCTGAAAATCCGGATCTTATTTTTCATGTTCACACTGAGAGCTGTTGACCTCCACACAGACTTGAGATTAATGAAAGCTTGTCTTGCTTTTTCGATTCTCGCTTTGGTATCCTCGTCAGTTCCGTTGGCCTGTAGTTGAAACGATGCTTCCCAGGTGGGTAGGTAAAGGAGGTTGTTTCAAAATATTTACAAAGGAATAAAAATGTATCTGTGATTTCAAAGAAGTATTATGTAATCCTTTCATGAGTATCATTTGTGTGTACAATTAATGAAATGCTCACTGACCATGCATGTGTTGTCAGGGATTAGATTCCCTTTCGATACACTCCTAAATCTTGCTTATGTGATCGGGTGAAAATAAAACACGTAGTTCAGCGAAGAGTCTCTTTTCGGCCACGAATTCATTTTCTTAGCTGTACAATCGCAAATATATATATATATATATATGTTATTTTGCATGTATGTGTACATTAAGTTTGCCAAAGAAAAATACAATTCTCAAGTATTGGTATTTTGTAGGGATTTTGTTTGATTGCATGGAGTATTTCACCATGAGCTGACAGCAGTTAGAGAACCACTGGAAAACCAATACTTGAAAATTAATCTGATGCTCACTAGTGGCTGGCCCCATTCAGGTAGTTAACCTGGGTTCTAGTGGGAAGCCGTCACCAGTAGGTTACAGCAGGTTGAAGATGAGGCAGTAACTCATCGAAGAAGACATTGCGAAGTGATCGCGCTATGTCATGAATTGGCGAAAGTTAGAATTCAAGGACCATTGGATCGGGTCCCAGTGGCTCAATGTTCTACGAGCTCGCCTTGTAACCAGAAGGTCCTGGGTTCCAACCCCGCAGTGTGAGTGCGTACTGATGAAGAGTTCCAAACTGGGACGAAACGGTGTCCAGCACTCACAAGTTTTCCAGTGGTTCTCTAACTGATGTCAGCTCATGGTGAAATCCTCCATGCAATCAAACAAAATCCCTAAATAGGTGAATATTGGTAGTTGGAGTTACGTAATACAAAATCAATTAAGAAAATTAGGCGTTCATGAAATTAGGGTGGTAACAAAGGTGATGAGTTGTCACAAACAGTTGTCAAAAGAAGTTATGTAATAATATGAACAGTTTGATGAGTGAGTTTTTTATTCAGGATACACATACGAACAAAGTAGAGAATATGAAATTACGTAAGAGTTCCAAATAATTACAAGAATTCTAAGCAATTAAGGGATTATAAGCAATTAAAGAACAGGCAAAGAAACTAAATTAAGTCATGAAAATCAAAAAAGTTGTTACCATGACAGTAGAATTGGTTGACTAATCTTCTATAATATATGCAAAGCTCTGGGTTTTCTCTGTGAATGGCCAGAGTTTCAGCAGTACAAAGAAGACGAAACCGTATTGCCTTTGATAGGTTATTCTTGACCCTGTAGATTACTTTGAAGCAGGAGGCGTTTGTTGAAATGGAATGATCAGTGTTTAACCAGGTGTTCAATTATCTCATGTTATAGGTGGTTAGCCAGGTTATTAGGAGCTACCAATCTTACATCTCATCAAAAAGATAAATCCCATTTTTATTGAAACCTTAAAACTTAAGTGGGAAGCCTAATATTCTATTTGGAATGCATAGCAATGAAGAAAAGATGCAATCAACTCTAAAACCAGTTAATATTGAAATATACATGTCTATCCTACATGACTGAATATACACTTAGTAAGTGAATAGATTAATTTTTAAGAATAGAAGACTCAGTAAATTAACTCATTAAGTATTATTATTATTAATGATGATACATATGTGACTGTAACAGACATTCAGTTATCATCATTATTGGTCATTTTTATCGATAGATGACTAGTACAAGATATTTTTGAGTTTAATATGATAACTTTAGTAAATAACAAATTACATTGCAATAATTCATGTACTAAAGGATACTGGTCTGTTACTACCAGTAATCTAAAATCTCACAATAAAAAGAAACTGATCTTGCAGTTAGACTAAACTTCTTTCATTGTTCATGTTAATGCAGTCGACATCCAAAGTCGTTTTTGTCGCATGTTTCAATTTCGATTTAGTGTATAGTGTAATTAGTTTGTCTATCAGTTAGACTATATGAACATTTCGGGATAAGCGATACTGCAGACAACAACTATATCATCTATAGAAGGGGTGATATTATTGTCTGTTAATGAATTACATTGAACAATACTAAGATTATAGAATGTCCAAAAACCTTATTTATTGAAATGAGGCTGATCAATTAGTTTGGGATCTATCAAAGAGAATTCACAAGTACCTGTGTGTCCTAATATTGAATCCATAACTCTTTAGGTTCTTTTCTTTTGGTTGACAACTTTCCTTTTTACTAAAATCCATCACTTATTATGATATTTTAGTATTCAGTGTCTACGATTTTTTGATTGCTTGGAGGATTTCACCATGAACCGAGATCAATTAGAGAACCACTGGAAAATCAGTGAGTACTCTACAGCTGTTTCGTCCTAGTTTGGGACACTTCGTCAGTACGCACCCACCACAACTGGGTTCAAACCCAGGACTTTCAGGCTACAAGGTGAACTTGTAGACCATTAAGCCACTGGGACCCGATCCAATGGCCTATGAACTCTAACTTCTGCCAAATCACGATATAGCGCGACCACTAGCCAATATCTTCGGCGAGTATTTGTCCTCACACCCGACCCGTTGCACCCTACTGGTCACGTCCTCCCACTGGAACCCAAGTAACTACCTACCTGAATAGGGCCAGTCGCTAGTGAGCATCTTATTGGTATTCAGGTGCTTCGTACTTAGCAAGTAATTAGTATCATGTGTCTAGTTCTTAGTGCTAACTGAATTCTATCAGTTAAGTTTGTGGTAAGCGATGATTTCCTTTTACAAATCTCAAGACTTAACTGTTAATCTTGAAGTGATTTCGACTTTTGTGTTTGAAACTATGTAAGACGATAGTAGCCGTGACTCTAATCCAGAGAAAATACGGAGTATGTGGAATCTATATCTAGAAAAAAGACTGATTGGGTTTAAAAATGATACGGAAAGATAGTTTGTAGGCTTCTTTTATTATTCTTGGTAGATATTGAACACTGAAAAGTTTGAACAGAGGTACAGGAAAGTGGAGCATCTCTACGAAGGTGACTCAACTTGCAATAAGATTCAGTTAGTGAACTTATCTAACATCGATAAAAGAACAACACGATGTTATATTGTGGTGAGAGCAGGCTGCTAGCCAATTGGTAGACATTAATTTACGGCAGTGTCTATGTCGCTAATATTGGCCGTGAGAAAATATGAACAAGACTGATTCAACAACCAATCACAGCAGACTCAACGTGGGCAAATACGATTCGCAGATATATGGCTTAGCTTTCTGAGAAACCGGTCACAAGCAGTACAGAATAACCTTGAGCAAGAAACAACCAATCAGAAGACTGTGTTTGTCTGCTTGAATAAGCTATAATAATGTACATGAAATATATATAAATACGTGCTGATTTACTTAATAAACGATCTGCTGCCTGGCCTTTGTCTTCTGTTGTTACAATATGAAAATAGATAGTGCAAATATATGTTAGAGCAAACGAATGGGAAATTTTTGGAGAGATTATTAAAAGTGTTAATTGTCTTCTTCACAGGTGCGTTATTCTGTTTCATTTTCTTACATGAAAATAATTGAGCTAGATAGAATAGTGAAGTGTTTTGGATGCCTATCATTGCTAAAGATCTTATTATATCAGCCTTGTGTCTGGTTTTACATGCATGCCCAATTAATACACCGTTAACAGACAGTAAATGTCTAATGTATAGAATTGAAAATATGCTTTCAGTGGTCGCATTAGTTAGATGCCCCTTCATCTATTCTAGATATGATGGAGAAGATTTATAGGTCAGGTGAATGATTTTGATGTGGATAGGTAATTTGCGAAGTTTTCATCGCCCTACTAGGCAACATCTTCAG